CAAATCTACGTCGTGAGGTGTTCACAGCTAATTTTCAAATCGCCAATGGAAGATCTACAAAACTGCATCATTTTCAGATGTTTAGAATTAATCATGCAAGAGTTATAGGTATTCTAGTTGAAGCTCTAAGTGATTTTTCTAGTCATTTCTGTGAAAAAGTTTTTGCTATTTCCTTTTTGATAAAAAAAAGCATTTTTTTCCACACTTAGAAAATTAATTAAACAAGCTTTAAATCACATACTATGAAAACGTATAAGATACGACTGGATGCGTCTTTGTCTCCTCTTTCGAACGATGAAAGTTGCAACTTTTAATCTCTTTTCTATCAGAAGTTATTCAAAATATATTCACTCTACCTTTTAAATAGGCCTTAGTATAACCGTCACATATGATAGAAAAATAGGTGTTATCGAAATCTTATTATTATGATATTACTTGAGGAATGACATAATAACACAGAAAAATAGAGCATCGTTGTTACTATCAGTTCATATAGAGAAAACGTTTCTTCAAGCTTTTTATAAGGAATTAAAGTATCACTGCCACTACTTTTGGATAGACCTAAGTAAATTTGCCCGGCCACAGAATAGTAGCCCACTTGGCTTCTAATTTGAGTAGCAAATCAAAAGTTTGAAGGTGGGCTTTTATTGCGATCAACTTTATGTCCGTAGTGGCTATGACTAAATTCGCTTACAAGAACACAAGTGCACATGATTCGATAAATTGGATTGTTCAAATTGTTTGAGAACTTTCATACGAACCATGATAGCTGTCGATGAACAAAAACTTGAGTTCTATAATTTTCCAGTTCCTTGTCATCGAGTTATCTGAGTGATGCATTTACTACACTACTGTTCTCATTCACATGTTCATCTGTCATTGGCACTTCATGAATTTTAATATAGTCACATTAAGCCACGCTTATTACGACACTTTGGTTTTAGAAACTATCAAACTTTGGAGGAGATGAGAAAATTTTCAACGAGATATGTACCGATACGGCTTTGTCAAGTAACGTCATCTTAGAAGTTTATGCACAGTTCAGAAAGGCATGGAGATTTGTTTCAATTATCTTGAAACAAGTATAAAGTAAACTTCTTACTACGAAATGAGGGCTTTTCATTCTCATGAAATAGATTATTCAGATCTTATGAATGTTTCAATAATGGATATTGTACTCATCTCATACTGGGACTTCTTGTTTAGTCCGAAAACTTCTCACGTAATTTCAACCGACCATCGCGTTCAGTTTTATCAGATGTCTCATTTTTCAATTAAAAACTTGCCCATATTTCTGTCAAATTAATAAAAATGTACATAGTTTCATTTTCAAACTGTATTAATCCCGTTATAGGAGGACGCCAAACAGAATGGTATTAGAGTGCCTATTTTCTATTCGCCAGTCCCTGAACAGCTATCTCTCATTAATGTTCATACATTCATATTTGTTGCCTCACGAAAGAAACTTGTTTGTTGTTTAATGGAAAACATGTAGAACAAGTGAAATCAGATACACTAAACAAAGTTATAACTAAACAGCGACAAACGATGAACTAATCTATTGGATGATTTAAATTGTTATTTTATGGTATAGTCGGAGAGGCTGGGTGTCTATTACATTCGAAAGATTATATGCTCGAGATTGGGATTCTATTCTGGTGGGAGTATTTCTTTGTTATTGAGCCTTGCATGCATACTTGAAACCTTCCAACAGGAGTGTTAGCCTAAATTGTAGATTTTAGAAATTCGATTCTTTTTAAAAATCAATTTATAAAAATTTTGTGAAATATGATCTAAAAAGAGTGTTGAAGTATATAGGGTAGAAATTTGGAGCCACTCCACATAGATCGTGACAGATACCTGGAACTCCATCATCAGGTGTGCAATAGATTCTTGATATACAGATCAAAGAGCGTACATTAAAAGCACCTTATCATAGTATATAAACTACTTCCTGATTCCAGTTCTGAAGGAATAAGTAAATGGATAGTTTAAAAATATACCGTAAAATCGATAGATTAAAACAAACTTCTGGTGTATACTGAGAGCAACTACATTATGTTTCACATTTTTATCTCGTATGGATTGAATTAACAACTTTTTTTTTTCTATTGAAATAGGTAAAGTCGATCAATCATTGATTCACTCCTGCCATTATTTAATGAATACTTCTCATGACTTTCGTATTCGTCTTAAATCTCATATAACTCAACAAACAAGTGCTAAATCGAAAGGAGCAAAAACTCAACCAACACATGCAACAATATTTGTTACACGTTCTTATCCATCATGGCAAATATTTGTTATTAATGAATTAAAACAATTATTTCTTTTAAATAATCAATCATTACCTGATAGTAAACAATTAGCAGTTCATTTTAAAGATCGACCAGAAATCGATAAAAAATATCAAAAAAAACTAATGCCATTTGTTATTTATTTGAAAGATTTATTCGAAAAAAGTGGTGATATAACATCATTAGATCGACATTTATTATTTGATGAATATCAAATTTTACAATTTAATCAAGGTTATCTTCAACGCTCACTTAATCTTGAGAAAATTGATATTCGTTTAACTGATGGTAATGACATTGATACAACAACATTAAGTAATTTAGACGATATTTTACCTGGCAAACCACTCGTGTATTTTCGTCTTGAAACATCGGTGTTATAATGTATTCCATAATATATGTCTCAATTGTTTCGTTTTTCTTTTCTTCTTTGATATTCCGTTGTTCATCCCATCAGTTTATTGTTATCGCTTATATAAGTGGGCCTATTCTCTTTGTTTATTTTTATGTTTGCGTATAGAAACATTTGTTATTTGTGAAATAAACAGACACATAAAAGATCGAAAAAGTATATAGTAAGATCGAATCTATAACAAACTGCTAGTCATCGTACACAAAACAAACGATAAAAATGAGCGGCTTGAGAACTAAACATTTATATCATAAACCATCATCAGAGTAGGACGAAATTCTTTTTGGCTGTCTTGTTTATTCTACAGGGTGTAGAGCAGAGAAAAATAGTGTGCCATGCTAACGTTTCTTCATAAAAAGTCATTTAAAAGAGTTTTCTAAATGTTAGCATGAGTCTTCGAGAATATATATCATCTGTGCAATTCTAATAGCTAATGATGATTCAATGTTTTCGAACAATTTCATTAGAACTTCCGGATGTGATACTCATTTTGATTCATTATCGTTCAATATAAACTCTTTCGATGTCAAGAAGACTCAACGTCTCCTACCACATTAAAAGCAGGAGTAGGAAATAATAACAAATGAATCTTGAGCTGCTACTAAATGTTGATGAAAACCTTAAGCTCAATTAAATCATGATATTCAATCACACATATTTTCTGCTTCCATTGACAGATATTTTGTTTTTCTACAGATATTGTACTGGTGTCATACAACCATGCAAAAAAAAAAACATCATTATGTGAGCCTAAAAACGATTGTTTCTTTTTATCAAAAATAGATTTAAACTACGTTATTTTCACTCGATTGTAATGTGACTTTTAGTCGTTCATATAATGCTTTTTATTTTCAAGAATTTTTTGAACTCTCTGTAGTCCATTGAAAGGATTTCTTAATGTTGATTAACTAAAATTTATCGAATGAATTTTAGTCGATAAAAGAGATTTAGAGAAAACTTGGAAAATTAGAAAAAAACAAAACATCTCTTCAAAAATAAATTATAAATGCATAAAAATAGTACCACTTTGATCAATTATAAACGGATCTATGGTCACTTGTATGTAGAGTCAGATTGGGTAATGCATAAGAAAAATCGAACATGTTTTATATAACTTATATATCTTTTTTATTTTTCAATATTTAAAAAAACTTTCTTCACAAGCAATGTCGAGAAATTTCTTCTCTATCGAACTGTGAAATCGGTTTTCAAAAATATGGTGGTATAACGTAGTAGTGATGGATTTGCCGAGACCTTCATCAGCATTACGGATTTATCCCATCTGGGGTAAATGTGTAATCTTGCTGGTGTAAGCTGGGATAAATCCATAATCTCAGCTATTTTTGGCTTGATTAGTAAAACCATATTTATAGCCGATCTGTTTATTTTTTTTTTTGTGTTTTAGAAAAGTTTTTCACGAATGGATACGTTAAAGTTTTGTCTATGATGCCAGACTTTTTGAAATATTTATATACTAAATACCAAGTTTGAGCAGAACGTTTTTAGAGAGCTAGAATAAAAAATTTTCTACACATTTACCCTATTTGGGGTCAATGTATAATCTAAGCCAAATTTACTGATACCAGTAAAAGCGATTGTTTTTTTGAAAAAAAAAGATTTTACAGATATTCCTTTGTGAAAAATATTTCTTATAAAAAATTCTAGAAGACTAAACTATTTCTCTACTTATTTTTCAATACAATAAATCTATTATTAAAAATAAGACGATGAGTAACATTAAGAGAGGGTCCATGAGACCACCGGCTCAGCGTGCATTTGAAAAATTTTTTATTTTGAAATGAGTTAGACGATTCGAAAGAGCGTGAAAAGTTATGCTCAAAATCAAATTTTTAGCTTTTTCTGAAAATCCTATCAAGAGATATGAAAGAATCTTTGAACCCACCCCTCAGACCCTTTTTTATAAATTTTTGAAAATTTTGATGAATTGCAGAGAATTCTGTTTTACACTTTCGGACAACATATATTACTATTGAAGACCCCACTTTTTAGATATTAAATAACGTATCTTGATTAGATCTATTAAATGAACTATCCTAGAACAAGAATGTCAAATACAAATGGTGTCTAAAGTGTCACTAATATGTTATATTTTATCCAAAAAAAGGCAATAATGACCATTTTTTTACAAAAGATTTTTATATTTTTTCCCTAAAAGTATGCCAGAGCAGTTCTCTCCCAAAAATCTTTTAGCACTAGGAGAAACCTCGTGAAAAACTGCATCTTTTCATGTACAAACCAACAAAATAAAATATGGGATGCTGATTCAACTTTCAAGCACAAATGTGATCACTATCATCTTTTGTTGCTAATATTTTTCCTTTTTTCTTAATTTACATCAAATTTTAGACTAATATGATAAGCGAAAATATAGATATGATTTAAACCCTTCTTTTTGACATTGAAGCGCGAGTTAATTATCTCAATAAAGAATATCTGAACTCAATTAATAAGTAAATACAAAGATCATAAAATCTCATGACTATCCAGATATACACCAGCTTCAATGATTATCTTTTGAAACTGTTCAAAAATGGCGTTTTCATCTTTTAGACAACTCAGCCTCAGTTTATATCTGTGTTCATCTTCTCTTATCCAGTACAATCATTTACTTTTGAATACTTTTAACAACATCATTTATTTATGCAAATCATCTTCTTTCAATAGTAAATCAGATCGGACCTCGTTCAATGTTTTCAACATGTTTATAATGTCATATTTATAAACGCTGTTCTTCAGCTACTCTGAATCAACCAACTATATAGTTAATTGAGTTTCTGTTATCGCGTCTAAAGTGTTGAAGAGTTACATAAACATACGTTGTTAATTTCAATATCTGAGATGTCAGACAAATATGAGTTATGCGCTCAAACAGCTGTTTGTTATTGTAGTGGGTGAATTTCATACGAAGACAAAGTACAACAAAACTCATAGTTGAGAGATAATTTTAGTAGCTTTTAGAAGAATCATAGACGTTGAAAAGGTGATTTTCTCGAATATAAAACTGCTAATATTTGCTGAATATTAATCTTTTAGTCACTAGTTCGTGTGACCGCTTCAATTAATTTTCGCTTTCCTGGCATAATAGTCTCAAGTATGACAATTTCAATCCACTGCTATTCATTATACAACACTTGATACGTTCCTTTTTTATATCTTAATTTATATATATATATTTTAACTGGCTGTAAAAACTTTGCAAGAACTCTCATTTGCCAAACTTCTTTTTAAAAAAACGAAATACTAAATTGTTTTTTATAGATCATTTATGCTAACTGATTCGTTCTCAAACTAATACTGAGATAACTAACAGAGGTGTCCACAGGGCAGGGTACCACATGGTAAAACACCAGCAGGACAGGGTAGATATTTTGGGTGTGGGTGTGGGTGTGGGTGTGGGTGTGGGTGTGGGTGTGGGTGTGGGGGTGTGGGTGTGGGTGTGGGTGTGGGTGTGGGTGTGGGTGTGGGTGTGGGGTGTGGGTGTGGGTGTGGGTGTGNCAGTCCAAACAGCTGGATCTTGTCTACTTTTATGAGCATCAGGATAGAAAAGTGCACCAAATTTGAGATACATTGGATCAGAAATAAATAATTCTTCTTGATCTCGTGTAACAAAAGCATCACAATCAAGAAATAGTACTTCAGAAAAAGTAGCACTAATAATAGCTGCTGGTTTATATGGAAATCCATATGTCTGTAGGCCGTCAAGTTTAGGGTTATAGACACGAGTAGCATTTAATTGCCAAACTTGTGTTAGAGTTCGACATTGAGCCGTAATAAAACAGCAGGCGCTTGCATTAATGCTGGGTGCCGTACGAAGTAATTCAATCATATTGTCATGCGAAATTTGAGATGATGTATACCATATCTATAATGAACAATCAACACAATAGGATAAAAATCTTGTATGTTAGTGAAAAGTGTGAATTAATCAATCATACTTGAATAGATAATTTTGTTGCTGTTAGTTCAATCATTTTTAAATTAACTTTGAGAAATTTGAGTTGATTAAATCCAACTGTAAGTACAATGCCTCGACCAGAAAAATGGTCATTTGGATAAGGTACTACTTGTTGTCGAAGTGTATGAAGTAACTGAGCCATTGTATGAAAATGACGTTGTTGATTCTCAGTCAATGGCTTTGTTCTGTTACATGTAGAAAGTGAATTATCGTACAGTAAATTATAACTTGATAAACGTTCATTGAACAATTGTTGTTTAAAACGAGTATTCAGTACACCAAGAATAGAAGCATTGATTACGAGATAAGGAGACGATTTTAATTGATTGTCGAATAATCTTACAATGGTTAGTATCAGAAAAGTCAGAATGAAAAATTTTCTTTTGTTGTATATAAGTCGACAAATATATCCGGCGAGTGATGATTTAGCATACATATGAATAGCTAAAAAAAAATTTCAGATTCAATGTTAATATTATATTCATATTAATATCTAGATCATAGTTCTCGGTATGGGATGCGATGGACTAGCCCTCTCCCTATTTTCTTTACATCGTGTGTGCAAAAACTTTGAGCTGTTGTCAAAAAGCCGTTTGCGAAATTTGACACGGCAGCTTTTCCAGTTGCTTTCTACCTGACTGACTGCTCACAATTGTTTATCAATTTTTTGTCACTGCTACTTTTAAAGATTGTCGAGAGTTCTGAGCTAGATTGATCTAGTAGGCATGTGAAAAAATTGGGTGTTGAAGCAATTGAAAAATAAATAACGCAATAAATACTACTAAACAGTTACGGAATTGTTTTTAAGATTTAACTTAGATCAATGATAATTCTATATCAAGCTTTCAATGAATATCACTCGGCGTCATTTGAAAGATGAGCAAAAGAGACGTATACTGATACGAAACAATAGACTGATTTACGAACGGATACTTTCAAAAAATATATGTATTCTTTCGTTCTCTTTCCATGTGTGCATCAGTGCGTATAATGGTTTGATTTCTTGGTCATTTATTGTTTTGACACTGAGTGTATGTTAAGGTGAAAAGACGACATTTTTTATATCCGATAAAAAAGAGAACGTAATACAGTCACATGGACCATTAAATATATTGTGTTTTATACTAAAAGTAACTGTTAACATCTTGTTTTGATGTTTTATCAAATTAATGTTTATTAAAACTTCTAAATAACTGATTTAATTGATTGTTGAAATGCATAGAAAACAAAACAAATGTATATTGTCTTTCATAAAAATATTTCCAATTGCAAATTTTTTACTAGTAAGAATTACAATTGTATCTGAATGAATAGTATCAAGTATTCTTTGGAATCAGAGTTGCTATTTCTAATGTCAAATAATATTTATCGAAAATACAACATAGATATATTATCGATTAAAATAAAATCTCAACATGTATATTGTAAAAGTTCTGTTATTATTTATTTCGTTATAAATGTATGACTTCTCTCATACGAATCCATATGAAATATTCTAGCCGTTTACATTTACTATACATATAATTTTACGATTCGTTGAATATAGACAGAAACATCAACAAACTTACCAAAAAAAAAACTTGCATAAATGCACTACAAAATTAATATGAGATCATTATTATTACACCAAAGTAAATAGGGTTGTAAAAATTATTGAAAACAAGTGTTCTTTTATTATTTGTACTCATTTATAATACTTAAGTCATGCCACATAAAACATTTTCAGGATGAATGCACTTTGCTTTGATCTCGATAGTAAAATATTTATACATTATAAACTCAAATCGAGACTGCTATAATATAATAAAATCACATATGTTTGCCTTTGACAACGGCAAATAACTCATTATTAGAATAAAATCAATAAAAAAGAATATATTCAAATAGATACTTAAACATTGATCAGTTGTACGAAACATTTTTGTTGATGTGTCATTCTGTACATAATAAAAGAAAGGTAAAAAAAAAAAGCATTGAACTGGAAATGTATAAGCAACCACGAATAGCTATCATTGATAAGGTTTAAAAAACATAAGATTCTCCTATGAAGAAAAATATGTTTCTTTCTCTTTCCTCTTGTACCATCATATACATATGTGTACATCATTGCATCGGTAACAGAGTCAACTACATTTGTATGCACATATTATATTTTATTTTTTTAGGTGGTATTTTGTATTTATTTCAATATGATCCATTTTGGTGATATCCATAAGAGAACGTAAACAATAATGCAAGAAAGAAAAATAAAGGTTGAATAAAAAGTTTCGACCCCTCTTAGGAAATCGATGGTATTTATGACAAACTTATATATCGTTAATTAATCGAACTATGTAAGTTTGTAGAGAAAGAGTAGAGCTATCATCTGAAAAAGACATACTTCGAAATGCTCAAGTATAAGATAATATTATGGTCATTTTATTCATCTTGAGTAAATATTTTCATCTTACATTTTTTGAAAAAAATAAATAACAAGATGTTTTTTTGTAAAAATACCAATAATCACGTTTTGTGATGCGTTGACCTTGTTTTCAGATGATTGCCTTTAGTCTCTTTGGAATACTGTCGATCATTTTCATACATTTTTCTTCACTAAAATTTTGCTATATATCAATAATTTTTTGCTTAACATCATGTAAGGAATTAAATTCATATTTACACAAATCTCTTTTTCAGATGATAGTTCTACTCTTTCTCTACAAAATTATATAGTTCGATTAATTAACGATATATAAGTTTGTCATAAATACCATCGATTTACTAAGAGGGGTCGAAACTTTTTAGTCATCCTTTATCGTATTTAATCGTTTTCAGTTGTAGAGCGAAGATATGCCTAAACATTGTGTTTTTTTTTTGAAAGCCGATTGTTTTCTATAGCCGATAAACTTCACAAATGGTCATCCACTCTGTTGGTAATAATCAATGATAATGCAGCTCTTAACCGGTGTAGTAATCTTACATAAAGTTTTTCACGTCTGACTATTCGCATTCTGTATACACACAGTATCGATTCCATTACTATGATATAAAATACTGCTGTGTGCGATGAGTATATGTCTGATATTATGTGTACGGATAGCTTGAACAATCGAGCGAGAACTTTTGATGATATTGTTATTTCAGTTCAGAACTGTGTCATCATCAATTATTGGTCATAGTATTCGTGACTATTTGTGAGGCTTATCGGCTACAGAAAACAATTGACTTTCAAAAAAAAAACACAATGTTTAGGCATATCTTCACTCTGAAATTGAAAACGATTAAATACGATATTTTTCTTGTTTGCAGTATTGTTTACGCTCTCTCAATATCACCAAAATGGGTCATATTGAAATAAATACAAAATATCACATAAAAAAATAAAATATAACGTGTGTATAAAAATGTAGTTGACTCTGTTACTTATTCAATGGCATAGAAATGTATATGTAATTAATAATACAAGAGAAAGGAAAAAGAAACAATCGAAAACGACACTTATTTTTATTTGTGAGAGATTGATCATGATAGTATATTGAACATTGAATACAAAAAGATCTCTTTCTGTTCAAATTAGTGTTGCCAATGACAGCATCCACATTTTTAACTTGCAAGAAAAATTGTTATATTTAGTTCAGATACATGAGTTAAAGATTGTACAATTTTATGTAAAAATTTTTGTTTTTACTATTTATATGATTGATAAACAAACTAATCTGTAGATAAATCATCCGATTAATTTCCTAGTTTCGAAGATAGATTTAAATTTTTCAATTTTTTTAATCTAATAAAACGGAACAAGTTTGAAACTTTTCATATGCATCTTTTTACAGTTTATCTAGCAAAGGTAAATGATAATGATTTACGATCAATGCGATTATCAAAAGCTATTGGAGAATTTGCAAAAAATAACCTACTATGCATATGTGGCCACACGAATATATTCGAACGGAAAAACGTGACCGAAATTTTGCCAATGCGACTTTTGAAAGCTGTCATGAAACAATATTTATAAAGGATACATGTGAAGATTGAAGCTAATATTGTTAGAATAAATATATTATAAATTTTACTCATCAATGTAGTCGATGGGAATTTTTTTCATCTATATCTAATTTACAGTCGAATGGATAAATATCCTATTGACAAAATTCCGGAATCCATAGAATAAGCTAGAAACTTAACATATTCGCTTACAAATAGAGCAAAATATATACTTTGAAATGCATATTACGAAGTAGTTTAAGGCATTAAATTTTAATGTTTTTAAAATCATTATAAATTACTTATTAAGAAGGTACAATAGATAATTCTTTCACATCTTGGCTATGTGTTTATTTTAATGCTTTCAAATAGTATATAAATTTTGAAAAACTATATAATTATTATTGAAAAAAAGTTGAATTGAAATAGATGTAATCCTTCCGAGTTATTGAAGTTTCTAATTACATTGAAGTTGGCATTGAAACGTGAGTGTGTCTGCAATTTATATTTCGTTATTTTTAAGCTCAATACAATTTATTTATCTAATATTACATACATATTCTTATAGGACTTAATTAAGCTGAATATTTTCCACATCTTTGAAAGTTTTTATTCTTACAAGCGTTTAAAACTTTCGTCTAAAAACCGTGGAATTCACTAATTTTGTTCTTAACGCTGATTGCTAACCACCCTGAATACACAGAAAGATAGAAAACCAATTTTTACAAAATCTAGATTTCCGAACCTCCTTTTTCAATGTTTAAACTTATTATCTTCTTTTGTTAGTCAACATGATGCAAGGTATAACAAAAAACAACGCAAAAAATATTTACCGTAGTAAAAAGCCATTTGTAGTAGTCTTAAAAATACAGAAACCTAATGTCTTAAACTACTTTGTAAATTTTATTTTGAATATATATTTCAAAGTAAATACTTTGCTCTATCTATGAGTGAAAAAATTAGTCTTACAACATTTTCCATGTGAACACAGCAGAACTCGACATTGATGCGTATACTTGTGTATCATAGGATATTATCACTTGAATCTATAGTACCAGTCTAAACTCATATATTTTATACATGATTAAAAAGTCTGTTTCAAAATATTCAAATAAGCGTATAGAATTTTTTTTATTGATTCCATGACATATTGTTGATATAAAAGCCTACAAGGTTTCT